ATGTATGTATGTAGGCTTGTTTGTATATAGCTAAGTATGTAGGTATGTGTTTATCTGTATGTATGTATGCATGTGTATGTGTATGTGTATGTGACTGTACATGTATGTGTGTGTAAATGTATAGGTAGGTGTATCTGCATATGAATATGCATAACTATAAGTACAAGTATATGTATATGGATATGTGTATGTGTATGTATATGTGTATGTATATGCATATGCAGATGTATATGTACATGTATATGTCGATGTATGTGTATATGTATAGGTATTTGTATATATATATAGGTAGATGTATTTGTATACATTCATATGCATATGTATATGTATGTGTATATGTATGTGTATACGTCTACGTATACGTATATGTATAGGTATATGTATATGTATATGTATATGTATATGTATATGCATAGCTATATGTACATGTATATGTACAGGTGTAGGCATACGTATAGGTATATGTATACATAGATGTCTATGCATATGTAAATGTATGTATATATATGTATGTGTATATGTTTATGCATATGCATATGCATATGCATATGCTTATGTTTATGTTTATGCTTATGTTTATGTACATGTCTATGTATAGGTATGTGTATACATATGATGTAAATATTTAAAACAAACGCCCTCCCTGGCCGCGCCCAGGGACCGCGGCGGCGCATGGGAGGACTGGTGCTCCCGAAGGTCTTCACGAGGCGTCCAAGAGGCTGGCCTCCGGCCGTCCCCAAGACGCCTCCAAGACGCCTCCACAGGCTCCCGGACCATGCAAGACCCCTTCCGTCAAGGGCAAAACAAAAACGCCCCTACCCTGGTTTACGAGGCGCTGTGCGCTGAAACTCCGGTGGGCTGACAGGGCAAACCCTGCGTGATGTGCCGCGTCCTGGCGACTCTCTAGGCTTTGGGGGTTCCCAGGAAGTTTACAGACCACGCAATTGTAACCCTGGGTAGGGCCGTTTTTTCATCCCTCCAGGATGCCCACGGGGCCCCCAAAACGTCCCAAGAGAGCTCCAAGATGGCCCCTCAAAAAGGCGCAGGGAGGCTGTAATCGTCCCATTCCTTTTTGGCAAACACGTGCATGTTCAGTATCTGCACGTGGCGGGCTGCCCCAGCGTGCACCACGACCCCAGACTCTGCCCAGACCGCCCCAAAAAAGCAGCCCAATAAGTCCCCAAGAAAGCCCGAAGACTGCCCTAGACGGCTCCAAGAAGGCCCAAGACGGCCCAGGAAGGCCCCTGCAAGCCCCCAGGGAAGCGCAGGGGAGGCCCCCAGACACTCCAGACGCCGTCACAACCGCCCCAAAACAATGACAGCCCAAGAAGCCCCCAAGGGAGCCCGAAGACGGCCCAAGAGGGCCCCAAGAAGGCCCCAGACGGCGCAGGAAGGCTCCTGCAGGCCCTTGGGGGACCCAAAGGAGGCCCCCAGACACTCCCAACAGAGCCCACGGACGTCCACAGCGGCCTCAGGGGGCTTCTCACATCGCTCAAAGATGCCCCGGGATGCTGCCCCAAGAGAGCCCCAACGGGGCTCCAAGACGCCCCCAAACGGCTAGAGAGCCCTCCCAACGGCTTCGGGTCTCGTGCCCCAGTGTGGCCCCAACCCTCTCCCAGGTGCCCCAGAGGCGCCCTTCAGAGGACCGAAGACGCCCCCCACTTGGACGACGAGCCCGACATCGTCGATCCTCGAACCTCGACTGTTCGACGACGACGTCGACGATTGAGAGCTCTACGCCAAGCTGAGCCACGAGCATCTACGCTGAGCTGTCGTACTTCTTCCGGATCCTGTCTGCTTCATTTAGCAGTTGATACTGCGACTCGTCAGGATGCGAGTATATGTTCTCGCTCCTGATGCTTCCTATTGTTTCCTTCTGCTTCCTCCCATCTTCTCCTCTTCCGCCTGGCGGGGCGCAGAAGGCGGCGGGGCGATTGGGCTGTCTCCAAAACCGACGTGGGGCCTGTCGGAAGCCCTCCCGCCTCCTGGCGGGCCCTCCCAGACACCCATGAGACTTGCCAAGACTTCCTTTCCTTCGGTAGCAGATCATGGGGTCCTTGTGTGCCCTCGTCACTCCATCTTTAGAGTGTATATTCGCGTCGGTTAGCGTTGGGCAGTCGATGGGATAGCGCCAAATTAGCGTCGATGAGCGTCGAGTCGCAAGAGCCAACAAGATGGCATGGGAGGTACCCGTGCGTTACCGCCGAACTCCCCCCTGCCTTCTGGGAAGGTCACCCCGCCTCGCCCCACTCCCTGCGGGCCGCCAGCCTCCCCCCTCCCCCTCCCCACCACCCCAGGGCGCATTTCGATCCGATCGATCCGATTCGATATCGGCGATCCGATTCGAATTCGATATTCGGCCGATCCGATGCTGCCCGATGCCCGCATGGCGTCGTTGCGTATCCCGCCAGGAATTCACTTCTGGGTGCCCGTGGTTGTCTCCAGATGGCCCACCCCTATCCCGAGGTGCTCCATGAAGCGCCCCAGACGGCTCAAAGCGCCCTCCGTACGCTCCAAGACGCCCCCGAAAGCGCTCCGAAAGGCGAACGTAAACCACTGGTTCCCCTTGCGTTTTGGATATTTTTTTTGGATCCGCCTTTCCAGCTTGCCGATGCTCCAATCCAGCCCCAGAGGCACCTCCGCCCGCTTCAGGATTTTTTCGGAGGCCCCCCCTCCCCCAGGGGCGCCCGGAGCATCCAAGAGGCCCCAGAGCCGTTCCCACGCGCGCCCGCGATGGGCTCCACGAAGGTTTCGAGACGGCCCAAACCGCCCCCCCAGACACTCCAGGAGGGGTTCCAAACGGCCGTCAAGAGAGACCATAGCTGCCGGCGCCGGTTTTCGTTCGCTGGCTTTCTTGGGCCGACTCTGCAGGGGGAGGAACAGCTTCTTCTCGCTTTCGCTTGCGATTGCGAGCGTCCTTCGTGTCGCGAAAAGGTCCGAGCCCAGAGAACCCAGACCGGCCGCGAAGCGTGGCGCCAGCTCGCCGCGGCCAGTGGCACAATCGTCCTGTGGTTGGCAGTCGGTATGCTTGAAATGGTGAAAGTCCCCGCTGCGGCCAGTGGCGCGTGGGACGCACCGCGAGCGGTGTAGGGAAGGCAGCACGGGCGACGGCGGACGGCATGGCCCGAGACCGCTGGAGAGAACAACAGCTGGCCTGAAAGAGGTAAGAGAGCACGGACTGGCTTGAGGAGGGTAGGTTTCCAGCCTCTTTGCGCACCCTGCGCGCCACGCCGTCTCGTCTGTGCAGCGGGCCATCGTCGACGAGAGCACCTCGCTGTTCCGTGACAAGCTCGTTTAATTTGGTGTATGCCACGTGTGTGGTTTTTGCATGATCCACGTGCTCCACCTCCTCCTCCTCCTCCTCCTCCTCCTCTTCCTCCTCCTCCTCCTCCTCCTCCTCCTGGATCGTCGTCACCGTTACGAGCTTGGGGTGAGCATTGCACATATTTCGTGGCTCAATACGGCGCACTCCAGGGAGCGGCTCTTGGTGCACTTGACGAGATCTTGGGCCAACGACGTGCTTCGGCAACGGGCTATTGAGCACCGCGGGCATGAACATGTTCATCTTCGGCAGTGGTACCCTCGGCAAAGAGTCCTGGATATTTCCTCCTGGGAACGATTGGACATGGCTTCTCCTTCGCCCTGGCGCGCGTCGATTATGACCGTTGGACCTGAGCATTCTCAACGTGGTGGGCCTCCGACACTCCCTGCTAGTCGCTTTCAAGCCCATGCGATGTATCGTGCATTGGTAGATCGTGTCGCGGCATGGGCAAGGCAATGGGTTCCCTCCATCGTCGTCGTCTCGACGGGCAGCGATTTTCAACAGTGGATGGACTGGTGTGTGGAGTATGTTTCCGATGTCTTGAGGTATTACGGATTTCGAGATCTGCTGCGCTGCCCTGTGGAAGCTGCCTCGGATCAAGCCGTTCGCTGGGAAGTTGCCACTGAGATCTGTCTTCGGGGATGGTACGACAGCGCCCAGCCCAGGGAGGCTTTGCGTACTTCCCTTTTCTGAACAATGGCTTGCACGCGACGACTTGAGGATCAGTCAGTTACGTCGGCGAGGCGTGCAGCACCTTCGTCAATTGGGCTGGCTGGCCAATGTCACCCGCATGCCGCCAGAGGAGCGCCACCTCTTTGAGCAGGCTCGGGCAGCCCGGCCTCGCGGTGAGCTGCCTGCTCTGCTTCCACATCTCCACCCTCAGCGTTATCTACAACATGGTGCAGTGGTGGGTGCTTTTGCGTCTGGCGAGCCCTTTCCAAACGACTCCAACAACAGCGTGGATGGCGATGGCTTCCCGAAGCCTACGGACGTGGACTTAGAGATCATGGCAGAAACTGGACACAATGCGAGCTTGGGTGATGCGGAACCTCCTCCTCCAGGTTGTCACGACGGTGCCGAGATGACCGCGGCTGAATATGCTCATCATTTTGGTCCCGTTCTCACTGACGAAGAATTTGTGCGCCAAGTTCAAGAAGCGGTTCGGCGATCTCGCGAAGAGCATCCTCTTGCTGATCGGGATCCTACGGCTGTGTCGTCAACAACGCCATGTCCTGTGCATGACGAGGCCCTGTCGCCAGTGGAACCACCCACGCCGCATGCGCAAGATGAAGTGCCTGACTCCAGCTCGTCCGATGGGGACTTCGACCGTCTGATGGCTGAGCACGGTTTTGGGGTTATTTACCCCAATGGGACTGTGGGAGGTGCCTTAGCGTCTGCCAGTGGTGAGGCTTCAGGTGCGGAAGGGCACCCAACACATGCATCGTCGCCCCCACTTACTGTGGCAACGCCTCCTGACCTGCCTGCTGATGATGTTGTGCCGACTCCTGGTCTTGTGGACGATGCTGGTCGGCTTCCTGCTTTGCGCTCGGTCAGCTCTTTCGTCTACGCTGTGCTGGCTGCGTCTGGCACGCAAGGTGTTCTTGGACGTAGAGGTGAGGAGTCTCTCTCGCCTGACCAACTCCCACGGGCGATTGACCATCTGGATGCGAACTACGCGATGTCAGCGGAGCACAGGGAGCTGGTTATTTGGATGCTCAACCATCCGTCCGCGCTCTTGGAGGGTACTGATGAAGAGCCTGGTTTTCCTCCCTTCGGCCTGGATGTGGTCTTCGACGATGGCTCTCCCACAGACTTCGACGAGTTGATGCTTGCTGTAGCTGCCGCCGCACCTCACGACATGATTGAGGTTCTGCCGCAGGACGCCATGCTCTCGCTGTTGAGCCCCGACTCGGAGTCGGATCAGGAGGATGTGCACGCGGAGATCTTGGCCCAGGCGGTGGCTCCAGAACGCTTTCCTGGATTGCACGACCACATCGATAATCGCACACGGTCTGACGATGTTCCTGGTGTTCCTCATGTGGCCCACGACACTGCCACTGCGTTGTCGGTGCACTTTGTCCCCGCTCAGGATGCCCCTTCAACTTCGTCCTGAGCCAGCTCTCCCATGTTCTTCGAGCTCTTCTTCTCACGGACCTGGCCAATCTGGGCAAGCTGACGATGTTCTGCATGAGGCACTGCCTGCGGAAGCGCCTGCTGGACATGCAATACCTTGTCAAGTTGAGGAGACAGACCCCGTGCAATCTGGCGAAACTGAAGGGCACGCTGCACTCGGTCACTCTGTCCTGGGACCTCGCGGTCACGAACCGATGGACCAAGCTGAACTCATGCAGCAGCTTCTCACTGTTCAACACGCGCTTGCAGCGGGGGGTGCCGCGTCTTTGCTTGGTGAGCACGGTGGGCGCGTTCCTGTGGACTTTGGCGAAGTGGATTGGGACTTGTTAGAACCCAACACGATTCATGCGGTCAGTATTTTGGTTCCTGCGATCCTGCCCGAAACCCCGAACATGCCGAATGGATCTGCGACAACCTTGTGCTGGTCTTCGTCTGCGCTAGCACTTCAGCCTGAGCGACCGCCTGGTCATTGGCAGCACCATCTTGCGACATTTGCAGAACTGTCGGGACCCCAAATTGAGCAAGCTCTGCGACTACTTCTCCATTTATTTCCTAAGTTGACGATGGACGAGTTCTTTGAGATTGGCTGGGTGCTTCGTCACCCTGCTGCTTTTCTTCTCCCTGTTGTCGAAGGTGAAGGCCCTTATGATCTGTATGCTGGAACAGTGGAAACTGAGGCTGGTGTGGACACCCTTAGCTCTGGCTGTGGTGGCAGCCCTCCATTGATTGCGACAGTCGTACCGCATGTGTCTGATGATGTTCCTGCTGAAGGTGGAGCTGATGATCTCCCTGGAGGTGGCTGCCTTGGTCACGGAGAGTCTGGACCTGCCGCTGAAACTCCTGCGCGTCTTCCTGGCGGTGGTGAGCATTCTCCTCGTGATTGTGTGGGCCATGGGCGTTCAGGTCGTGTCCAAGTACCTCTAGCGGAAGACGCTGCACCTCAAGGGGGAGATTCTGGCCACCAAGGGGCGAGTGAGTTGGGGCCCACGGATGCTAGCACTGGTCCCGTGGGGGGCCCATCGCTGAGTCTCGCGGCGGTCTCGCCAGAGGTCGAGCTGACGGACGCGGCGCAATATGCACTGGGACAAGCTCTTCACACGCTTGCTCAGCTCTCGTCTACTCCTTCGACGGCGCTCACAACGGCTGCTACGACAATGGCAACTACACCATCGGCGGCGGCCTCTACCCTTGGTGCTTCAACCTCGATTCCTGTTGCACTCCCTGGGCCACAAGTTCACGCGGTGCTTCTGACAATGGAAGGCATGGGGCTCCGCCCAGACGAAGTTCAAGAGGCTCTGAATCTGATGTTGGACGGTGCGCTTCCTGGAGTTCACGGAGCGCCTCCGCCTCTGCCAGGTGACTTGATGGGCGCGGACGGCGACGCGATCGCGGCCTTTCTCGACAGCGACTTCAACCAGGAGCCCTCCTCCGAGGCGGACCTGAGGACAGGCCCCGCGGGGGCCGACGGCGGCGGCGGCGCGGCCAGCGCGGCCTAGACAAAGACGCGCGCCTCTCAGTGGCGTGGGATCCTCCTCCGACCTATTCCACGACTGTCTGCCTGTTCGCCCCTCCCCCCTCTCCCCCACGGCGGGGGCGCCAACTGTCCGCCTGCGCGGGTGCTGGCCAGGTCGACCCTGGGCCCAGCATCGGTGTGCGTGCCTGTCTGGCCGGGCTGGGAGGCGACCATCCAGTGACCTCCCAGCCTGGACTGGGCTGGGCAGGCTAGGTGCAGCCCGGGCCCGTGATTTGGGCACGTGCACCCCTGGCCAGGCCGGGATTTGGCATCCATCAGCTCAACGGCGTGGACCGAGCCACGACGCGGTCGGTGCCGGCGGGGACGGCGGTCGCCGCTCCTGCACCCACCTGCCGCTCCAGACCCAGTCGCTGATCTTCCGCATCTCACCTAGCGGTTCTCCATTCGTGATGGCGGCGGCTGACAGCGGACGGTGGACGACGACGACGACGAATTACGGATGACGGCAGCCGCGGCGGCAGCCGCGGCGGCAGCGGTGGCGGCGACGGACGACGGACGACGGACGATGGCGACGACCAAAAGGTTGACCGACGGTGTTCCCCCCCCAGTGTGGTCAGCTGGCGTCCATCCCGCCAGATGCCGCTTCGTGCTTCCCGGGTCCTCGCCCCCCCTCTTCTCCGTGCGCGGCGAGAGGACGCGGATGCCGGCCAGGGGCGCAACCAGAAGCGGCAACGCTGGGACATTAGGGGGGAGGCCCGCCTTCCGCGAAGAGGGTGCGCCAGCACCCCCCCCTTTTGGCGGCGGGGACGGAGGATGAGGAGGAGGGTCGAACACGAGGCCTCCACATGCCGCATTCTGGGCCTTTTTGTTGTTGTTGTTGTTGTTGTTGTTGTTGTTGTTGTTGTTGTTGTTGTTGTTGTTGTTGTTGTGTGTAAAACAGCATCCCAACCAAAGCCTGGAGCCGTGAAGATGTTGCAGACTTTGAATACGACTTTGCACGGCGCGAAGGCGACAGCCACATGTTGAAAAGGAACCGCCCGCAATCCGTGAAGCTTTTGTATACTGTCAAGACGAATTTGCCCGGCGCGAAGGCGAAACCCATGTTGTACAAAGAAACCGCCCTCCATCCGTGAAGCTGTTGCCGAATTTCCATACGAATGCGCGTTGCGCGAAAGCGAGAGCCACATTTTGAAAACGGACCGCCTTTTATCCGCGGAGTTCTTGCAAACGCTTAAGACGAATGTGCGCGGCGCTAAGGCGAGAACCACATGTTGAAAACGGCCCGCCCTTCATCCGTGGAACTCCTGCATAACTCTAGAAACCAATGTACGCGGCGCTAAGTCAACTACCACATTTTGAAAATGGCCCGCCCTTCATCCGTGAAATTCTTGGAAATCCTCAGCGTCAGGATCATAAGTGGAGAGGAAATCTCAGGCGAAACGCCCGGACTGCCCTACCGATCCGTTTCGGGGTGCGACACTGAGGAGTTATGTATAAGGAAGAGGGATTGATGGATGATGATAATGATGATGATGATGAGGATGATGATAATGATGATGGTGATGATGATGATGATGGTGATGGTGATGGTGATGGTGATGGTGATGGTGATGGTGATGATGGTGATGGTGATGGTGATGATGATGATGATGATGAGATGATGATGATGATGATGATGATGATGATGATGATGATGATGATGATGATGATGATGATGATGATGATGATGATGATGATGATGATGATGATGATGATGATGGAGATGGTGATGGTGATGGTGATGGTGATGGTGATGATGATGATGCTGCTGATGATGATGATGATGATGATGATGATGATGATGATGAGGATGAGGATGAGGATGAGGATCAGGATGAGGATGAGGATGAGGATGAGGATGATGATGATGTTCCTCCCCATTCATCTTTCCTCCTCCCCCCTGCTCCTTCCCCCTCCCTCCTTCCTCCTTCCCTGTCCGTCGCCCTCCTATTCACCTGCGGCACCTGTGCGGCCGCCTCTGAAAGCCTTGAGTGCCCATGGCGCCGCCCGCTCACGTGCTTGCAGCCGCTCGCCAGGGCCAGAGCCAGGACAAGCCCCGCCGCCCATCGATTTTGACTGGCAGGGCTTCGCATGTGGGGGCCCCTTTTTCTCGTGACTGCTCGCAGTCTCTGAACCCCGGCCAGCGTCTTGGGACCCGTCAGGATTTTCGGCCAGCAGGGGGGATCGTTCAAGTTCGAGTCCTCGCACCCTCTTGGGGGCCTCCCCCCGGCGCATCGGCGGGCTGTTCATCAAGACTCGCGGCGGCCAGAGCTTCCGGTGGAACGGGTGAAAAAAGGCCTGTCGCACTCGCCCGCTCGGGTCTGGAGGAGCGAGGTAGGTAGGTGGACCAGATCGGTGGGTGCGAGTGTACTAGGGGATAGGGGGAGGGGTGGGGACGAGGAGGGCGAGTACGAGCAGGAGGAGGATGATGATGAGAAGGAGGAGGAAAATGAGGAAGAGGAGGTGGAGGGGGAGGAGGATGAGGCCGAGGAGGAAAACGATGAGGAGGAGGACGCGAAGGAGGTGGAGGAGGCCGATGATGATGATGATGATGATGATGATGATGATGATGATGATGATGATGATGATGATGATGATGATGATGATGATGATGATGATGAGGATGAGGATGAGGATCAGGATGAGGATGAGGATGAGGATGAGGATGAGGATGATGGTGACGATGAGGATGAGGATGAGGATGAGGATGATGGTGATGATGATGATGGTGATGATGATGATGATGAGGATGAGGATGAGGATGAGGATGAGGATCAGGATGAGGATGAGGATGATGATGATGATGATGATGCGGAGGATGAGGATGAGGAGGATGAGAAGGATGAGGATGAGGATGAGGATGAGGATGAGGCTGAGGATGAGGATGATGATGATGATGATGATGATGATGATGATGATGATGAGGATGAGGACGAGGGTGATGGTGTGATGATGATGCTGATGATGATGATGATGATGATGATGATGATGATGATGATGATGATTGATGATGATGATGATGATGATGATGATGATGATGATGATGATGATGATGATGATGATGATGATGATGATGATGATGATGATGATGATGATGATCGAGGAGGACGAGGAGGGTTGGGAGGAGCAGGAGGAAGAGAGGGAACGACGGGAGGAGGGGCAAGGGGGGATTGCGGTTGATTGCGGGGAGGAGGAGGAGGAGGAGGAGGAGGAGGAGGAGGAGGAGGAGGAAAAGGAGGAAGAGGAGGAGGAGGAGGAGGAGGAGGAGGAGGAGGAGGAGGAGGAGGAGGAGGAGGCGGAGGAGGAGCAGGAGTCAGCAGGCCTCGCCCGGGCAACTTGGTGTCAGGACTAGCGCGCGTTCCCACCCAGCCACTGGGTTCGCTCGGGCGTGGTCCTGCCTCGGACGACTCGGTGACGGGAAACGCACGGGCCCCGGACGGGCGGGGAGCGGACCTTTCAGAAATCCTGGCGTGGCGTTGCGGAGAGAGAGAGAGAGAGAGAGAGAGAGAGAGAGAAAAGAGAGAGAGAGAGAGAGAGACCACTGTCTGGCCTTCCCGCGCGGGCAGACTCTTTCCGACGAGGGTGGCGAAGGCAAAGCATTCGCCGTGCCTAGGCAGCGCCGGCACCGTCGCGCGAAGTCTGCGCGTAGGCGAGAGCAGCGTTTCGCCCCTCTGCGCGCGGCCCCGCTGCTGCCCTCTGGCGATTCGACGCCGTGCCCCAGCGGGAGCGCCACTCACATACG